TATATTATATTATATTATATTATATTATATTATATTATATTATATTATTAATTATAAATATTTTTTCACAGCATTAAAGTAAATCATATGAGCTTATTTTATCATATTAAAATATTGTTAAATATATTAAAAAAAATATTATTTGTAATAATAATATTGTAAAAGTAAAATATAAAAAAAAAAAAAAGCATTATGCTTAAACTGCAAGTGACATGAAGAAAACAGAAAGAAATGGTTAATCACAATTATTTGTATGAGAATTAATCATCAGCAAAAAAGTTCCTGATCGTGACTCGTGATCGTCGTAAATAAGACAAGGGTCATGAATGGAGTGAGTTTGGGTTTCAGCAGGAGTTCTGTGGAGTGAATCTCTGTCTGTCAAGAGCTCCACATCAAGAGCCGCTGATGTGATTAAAGGCCTGGAGCTTCTTATTTATAGAGACAACGTCCCAATATAGAGCAGCAGTGTGGAAACAGATAGAGACAGACAGAGAGACATGCGTCCTGCTTATGATATTGGGAGTCAGAATTATGATGCAATGTGCTTCAGTTCAATTAGATGCATTGAACGATTGCATATTTCTTGCTTTGCCATGTCTTGAGAAATATGAGGAGCTTTTTAGCACAAGTGCAAGAAGTGAAGAGCAAATGATGCACATTAGGAGTGTAAATTATGTTTTAGATGCTGTTTTTATAATTTGTGTATCTCTTGCACATTTAAGTTTATATCTCACAATGCCGACTTTTTTTTTTAAGTTTGCATCTTGCAATTCTGACTCTTTTTCTCACAATTCTTTTTTTTCTTGCAATTCTGAGTTTATATCTTTCCTAGACATTATATTCTGTGGCGGAAGTGAACCAACTAAATGAGTAATATTTTCTGGCCAAATTCATATGCGCTCAACAATTTACAGAATGCATGCAAAATGAATTGCACAGTAACCCTTAAAATCCTCCTATGACTAAAACCAGTTTGCATCTGCAGCGATTCTTTAAATAACATGCACCAACTGTGGAAAATCCCACAGTGTGCACATGTTGTTTTTCTGATAGATGCAATGATTCTAACTTATCAAATGCAGCAGAGAGATTCTGATCTGAAGGATAAAGCGTGTTTGTTATAATTTCCGAACCCAGTGAAGTCAGGAAGAGGAAGTGCAGAGGGGGAAGGGAGTGAGACGCATCCGTCTCTGTCTGTGTATGCTGTCTTTTCTGTGTTCAGTCATTACGTGCATCCAGCAGTATATAATGACACCTCATCACGGCCGCCGGGCTCAGGTTGTGTGGTTTGGGGGAAGGTTGAGAGATGTTTTAATGCTATCTCTGTGAGTTTTAATGAGTTTTAATGCTGCTGTAAATTCCTTCCAGATGTCGTGTCACATTCAGAGGTTCAGATGCTTGATTGATCGATCAGAAGACTGGAATACAGACCAAATCATGTGATTTACTGGTGTGTTCATGTTCAGGGCTTCACTCCAGTGTTATAACTATATATAGCTAGTTTGTGGTTGATAAGATTTGTTCATGTTTTTGTAAGAAAGCTCGTCTGCTCACTCAGGCTGCATTTAAAAAAAAAAAATTTATACATTTTAAAAAATTAGATATTTTTTGAAGAGTTTGCAGACTTGAATAGAAAATTTACTCTAGTTATTTATGTATTTTTATGTAAAATTCAATTCAGTTCAAGTTTATTTGTAAAGCGCTTTTCACGATACAAATCGTTGCAAAGCAACTTTACAGCAAATTAAGTTTCTACAATATTTAGTGGTAGCTTATCAGTGGTGACTGTCAGTTAATGTACATATGGCAGAAATGTACGGAAAAATCAATTTAAGACGTAAAATGCAGTTCATTTTTATCGTTACAGTGAAATGCTCAGATGTTTAATCCAAGAGTGAAGGGATTCATCAGAAAGCACTTGTTTTCAGTCGATAATGGACTGTAGCAGGTAGCAAGAACACATTGTGTTCTCTTGAAGCCTGCATGACTAAAGCAGATAAAAAGAAGATATTTTGAGAAATGTCTCAGTGTTTTTTGGTCCAAAGAGTGAAAGTCAGTGTAGTTTGATTCCCAACATTCTTTTTATGTTCCACAGAAGAAAGAAAGCCATTCAGGTTTTTGGAATGAAACGAGGGCGAGTAACTAACGACAGAATATTAATGCATGTTTTTGAAAAGTTACATTTGCTGGTGGTTTTCAGTTCTTGGATCTGGTGAACGAGCTGTTCTCAGTCAGCTGGAGAAGACGCGAGTGTGAGGTGTGTGTTGTGTGTGAAACCTTTGTTAAACAAGGGCTGACCCTCGTAATCCTCCGCTGCGACCCTGGGGTCCGGATGGCTCCGTAACTCTGTAATCCATCAGTGATTAATAGGGCTTTAATAATGACTGCTGGACGCAAACACAGAAGAATGATGCTTGCAAACATGTAGTGGTGCATGATACAGACCAGACCATTCAGAAATAACCATGACTGCTCGGCTGAATGACAAAAGTGTGTCTGTTTCATTCAGTAGATATTGTCTATATCATCATACATCTTGTTTGCTAACATTAAATCAATCAGTAAATATTATATCATTTTTATGTTGATATTTGGGTTGTTGATATGAAGCAAGTATGTTTGTGTTCTTTATCTGAATCTAATTTGTTTATTAGTTAAATATGTAGTATTATGAGTT